GGAAACACACACACTGACTGAATCCATTGTTTCTATGTGTTTATCAGATGATGGGGGATCTAGGTGGATCCTCCGTACTGCTCTCTCCTTTACAATAAAGTCTCCTCTTACCCGGTGATGTGAGGGGCGGCTGATTGTCCATCATGACGTCCTTGTAGAGATCCTTGTGTCCTTCTAAATACTCCCACTCCTCCATGGAGAAATAGACAGTGACACCCTGACACCTTATAGGAACCTGACACACACAATGATACAGTCACCATCCAGACACATCCCTTGTCTGTTACTGGAGAATGTCCCAGAATTCCCGGCACCGCTCACCTCTCCTGTCAGCTGATGGACCATCATGGTGGTCAGTTCCAGAATCTTCTGCTCTTTCTCCCTCTCAGGTATCAGAGAATGAGATGGAGGCACCATGGTGAGGCTCTGGGTTCTGCTCCATCCTCCTGAGATTGGCTCCCCACTAGACTTCTTCTTTACAACATAATCCTACAGATCAGGAGACAAATAAAACAATATCAACCACCTGACATCATCTAAATGTGTGCAAAAATAAAATGTTCTATTGACCAGAATAGACAAGAGTGATGTCATGTGACCTCCCAGAATCCTCCTCACTTCTCCGGTCAGGTCTGTGTTTTATTAATAGAGATAAGAGTGATGTCATGTGACCTCCCAGAATCCTCCTCACCTCTCCGGTCAGCAGGTAGATGATCTCCAGGGTGAGGTTTAGTATCTTCTCAGTCATGTGACTCCGGTCCTCCTCCATCCTCATTGGTGCCATCATGTGATCTATACAGGTCTCCTTGTAGACGGATAACTTTGGGAAATGAAAGTAAGAATGATTTGGATGGTATTGGTCACACAATAATAGGATGTGGATGTGAGGGGGGGAATAGGAGGGTTGCTGGACATTGAAGAACTACTCCCCCCATGGGAAGACATTTTGTTTGGACTGTTTAGTGTTTACTACAATTTTGGGGTCCGGGGCCCCTTTTCTCTGTTGGGTTTGTTTGGTCTCTGAACTGGTTTTGATGAGTATTAGATCTGCAGACAAGGAATGATAAATCTGATCCTTCCTATGACTAGTTTGCTCTGAGGCAGTGCTGTGAGGTCAATGTCGGCTCATCATGCAGGGATGGTCACTTTACATCACCCCGACGCCCGGGACATGTAGTTCTGGGGGCCGGGCAAGTATTGTGTTTAATCTTTATCCCTGCTGAGGGCAAGCCGCAGGGCTCTCCTTTCAGGTGCCAGCCTCTGCCACCCCGTGTGTGTGAACCTCTCCTGTACCTACTATGCTTCCCCGGCTCTGCTTGCCCATCTGTGGGCCCGGGTCAGCGGGTGTCGGAGGGTAGAGGGGATGGAGGAGAGCGGACATGTTCACTCCCTTCTTGTCCTGACCCAGAAAGTGATATTATGACAGATTTCGCGACCATCGAGGCCGGCAAAGAATGTAATGCGGTGCGATGTGCTCTACATTACATCCAATGGAGTACAGGGGAGACATTGGGGGTCTTTTAGACCCTGGATGTCTGAATAAAGAGAACCTGTCATCAAAAGTCATCACATAGAGGACTTTGTCCCATTAACCACTAGCCGACCGCGCATAGCCGAAAGACGGCTTCACCGCGGCCGGCCAGTTCTGAGTGGACGTCATATGACGTCCTCCCAGAACGCGCTCTCCTGCGCGCCCCAGGGGGCGCGCACCCGGCGATCTCCGTGATCGCTGTGTCCTACGGACACAGCTGATCACGAGATGTGGTGAAAGGCCGAGCCCACCGGCCTTTTACCACGTGATCAGCGGTGTCCAATGACACGCTGATCACAGGAAAATGCAAGTGCCGGTTCTCGGCTGCACTTTCCTCACGCTGTCAGATCGTGAGGAAAGTACTGCCGAGAACCGGCAGTTGTCAGAGCGGGGATCGGCACCCCGATCATCAGGGCACTGATGATCAGTGCCCTGATGATCGGTGCCCAGCAGTGACCCCCGCAAGTTCCGATCAGCGGTGCGCTCACTAGCCCCGCCCACCCATTCCCAGCAGTGCCCCCACCTGTGCCCAGCAGTGCCCCCACACCCCAGCAGTGCCCCCAGCCCAGTGTGCCCCCCTACCTGTGCCACTCTGCAGTGCCACCTACATGTGCCCAACAGTGCCACCCACCTGTGCCCACCCACCTGTGCCCACCAGTGCCACCCACCTGTGCCCACCCACCAGTGCTGCCAGTCAGTGCCACCAGTCAGTGCCCAGGGGTTGTGCCAGTCAGTGCCGCCAGTCAGTGCCCAGAAGTGATGCCAGTCAGTGCCGTCTATCAGTACCCATCATCAGTGTCACCTATCAGTGCCGCCTATCAGTGCTGCATATCAGTGCCGCCTAACCGTGACCCCTAATTAGTGCTGTCTATCAGTGCCGCCTCTTCGTGCCACCTCATTAGTACTGCCTATCAGTGCCCTTTAGTGCTGCCTATCAGTGCCCATCAGTGCCGCCTATCAGTGCCCATCAGTGCCGCCTCATCAACGCAAATCAGTGAAGGAGAAAAAATACCTGTTTGAAAAATTTTATAAAAGAAACAAATAAACTTTTTTTTTTTTTTTTTTTTGCACTTTTTTTAATTTATAGCGCAAAAAGTAAAGCGCCCAGTGGCGATTAAATACCACCAAAAGAAAGCTCTATTTTGTGAGAAAAAAATGATCAAAAATTTCATATGGGTACAATGTTTGCATGACCCCCGCAATTGTTCAATCAAAGTGCGGCAGCGCTGAAAGCTGAAAATTGGCCTGGTAAATAAGGGGGTATAAGTGCCTGGTAGGCAAGTGGTTAAGTAAAAATGCTTTTTTTTAATTGTAAAGAAATTAAAGTTACACCCAAGTACATAACTCCTCCCCTTAAAAAATTTTGAGGCCCCCCCCCCCCCCCACATATATGCACACCCAAACGTAAGAGCACACGCTGGAGGGCCTACACATGATAACTTTGATTGTGATACACGTTACATATCGCCGGTCACACCAGAATGAGAGGATAATTCTAGGAGCAGACCTCCTCCGTACTCTATACTGATGACCTAGAAGGGGCTATAAATGTGTCCCCTATAGATAATACCGGGGACTAAAGGTTGTCACCATTTCAGCACACACAACTTAAGGTTTGACATGTTGGATATCTATTTACTCGCTGCAACCTCGGCTTTTATATTTTTTACCATAAATGGGTCCATTTATTGCTTTTTTGTGCCCTGAAATCAGCTTAAGTATATTTTTTAGTGAAATTTGGCATTTCCTAGACTTTGTGATAATATTTTGTGACATAAAAAATTAGAACTGCCGCTATTTTATTCTCTAAAAAGTCTCTACTTTCAGAAAATCGATATTTGGGGGGTTTTGTGTCATCTTCAGGATAAAATGATTTTTTAAATGTGCAAAAAAGGGCTCTGGGAGTGAAAGGAGAAAGGATAAGCAGGACACTCCCCTTTTCTGAGGAGCAGCCAATCGGTAGTCATTACACTGCAAGGGTCTCTCCCCCCTCCCTGGGTGCGGTGCTGGAGACAGGCGGGGGAGGGGAGGAGGAGATAAACAGCTCAATGTTACACATATTACACACATTTGAGTTGCTATAAAGCCCCTTTCATTTTTTTAAACCCCCCAACATTCCTAAAAGAGCCTCAGATTTATATACATTTTGTTGTAAATAGGAAATAACATCTTATTACCTCCTCTGCTGCCTCTTCCACCAACGTCTCCTCTATACTTCTTCCCGCCTCACCTCTCATCTGGAACTTCCTGTCTGTACCTGACATCACTTCCTGTCTATACCTGACATCACTTCCTGTCTGTCCCTGACATCACTTCCTGTCTGCATTCCATAGAGACTTCCTGTGTGAGTATAGGTGAGATCAGCACCTTGTGGAGATCAGAGGAACTGCAGCCCCGAGATCCATCCCATAATCCCCCTTCCTGTATAATATGTACCTTACAGGGATACTACGGGAGATGAAACATTACTGAATAAAGGAAGAAGAAATAAATGTAACTCTTATGTAACCAACTGTTCAACAAAACATCTCTTATTACATATAGAAAAGTCTTACAAACACAGAACACAAAATACAAATGTATAGCTATGAGAGCGATCCCGCCAAACCTGATCCTTCTGGGGGGACAATGCAAAAATATATATCAATCCACTCATAATGACATCATCTTCTGGGAGTGTCTGCACATCCATCCATTTCATACACATTTCATGTCTCAGCAGATCTCCTGCAGCCTATTAGCTCCCATTTCCCTTTCTATGTCTCAGCGGATCTCCTGCAGCCTATTAGCTCCCATTTCCCTCTCTATGTCTCAGCAGATCTCCTGCAGCCTATTAGCTCCCATTTTCCCTCTCTACGTCTCGGCGGATCTCCTGCAGCCTATTAGCACCCATTTCCTGTCTATGTCTCAGCAGATCTCCTGCAGCCTATTATCACCCATTTCCCTCTCTATGTCTCAGCGGATCTCCCGCAGCCTGTTAGCTCCCATTTCCCTCTCTATGTCTCAGCAGATCTCCCGCAGCCTGTTAGCTCCCATTTCCCTCTCTATGTCTCAGCAGATCTCCTGCAGCCTATTAGCTCCATTTCCCTCTCTATGTCTTAGCGGATCTCCCGCAGCCTATTAGCACCCATTTCCCTTTCTATGTCTCAGAAGATCTCCTGCAGCCTATTAGCTCCCATTTCCCTCTCTGTCTCAGCAGATCTCCTGCAGCCTATTAGCTCCCATTTCCATGTCTACGCCTCAGCGGATCTCCTGCAGCCTATTAGCTCCCATTTCCCTTTCTATGTCTCAGAAGATCTCCTGCAGCCTATTAGCTCCCATTTCCCTCTCTATGTCTCAGCGGATCTCCTGCAGCCTATTAGCACCCATTTCCTTCTCTATGTCTCAGCGGATCTCCTGCAGCCTATTAAAGCCCATTTCCCTTTCTATGTCTCAGCAGATCTCCTGCAACCTATTAGCACCCATTTCCCTCTCTTTGTCTCAGCAGATCTCCCGCAGCCTATTAGCACCCATTTCCCTCTCTACGTCTCAGCGGATCTCCTGCAGCCTATTAGCTCCCATTTCTCTTTTCTACGTCCCAGCAGATCTCCTGCAGCCTATTAGCACCCATTTCCCTCTCTTTGTCTCAGCAGATCTCCCGCAGCCTATTAGCTCCCATTTCCCTCTCTATGTCTCAGCAGATCCCCTGCAGCCTATTAGCTCCCATTTCCCCTTTCTATGTCTCAGCAGATCTCCCGCAGGCTATTAGCACCCATTTCCCTTTCTATGTCTCAGCAGATCTCCTGCAGCCTATTAGCTCCCATTTCCCTTTCTACGTCTCAGTGGATCTCCTGCAGCCTATTAGCACCCATTTCCCTCTCTATGTCTCAGCAGATCTCCTGCAGCCTATTAGCACCCATTTCCCTTTCTATGTCTCAGCAGATCTCCTGCAGCCTATTAGCACCCATTTCCCTCTCTATGTCTCAGCGGATCTCCTACAGACTGTTAGCTCCCATTTCCCTCTCTATGTCTCAGCAGATCTCCTGCAGCCTATTAGCACCCATTTCCCTTTCTATGTCTCAGCAGATCCCGCAGGCTATTAGCACCCATTTCCCTTTCTATGTCTCAGCAGATCCCCTGCAGCCTATTAGCTCCCATTTCCCTCTTGTCTCAGCAGATCTCCTGCAGCCTATTAGCTCCCATTTCCCTCTCTATGTCTCAGCAGATCTCTCCTGCAGCCTATTAGCACCCATTTCCTTTCTACGTCTCGTTCCAGCAGATCTCCTGCAGCCTATTAGCACCCATTTCCCTCTCTATGTCTCAGCGGATCTCCTGCAGCCTATTAGCACCCATTTCCCTCTCTATGTCTCAGCAGATCTCCTGCAGCCTATTAGCTCCCATTTCCCTCTCTATGTCTCAGCGGAT